GCATGTGTGTGCATGCCCAAGATCCTGAGAGGAGAATGGAGGAGAAGGGATTGCAGCGTGGCCATCCCCCTGGGGGGGGGGTGATTTCTCACTTCTGTCTCTCTGTCTCGCTGTCTCTCCAGAGAGCACACGTACCATATAGCAAAAATCTCTCCCAAAAATTAAATAATTAATTAATTAATTAATTAATTCGTTAAATAAAATGAAACCTCAGGGAATGCCAACTTCACCACTAGGAAAGAATAAGAAGTCTTCCAAAAAGCTCCTAGCAAATGCATGTTATGAAAAAACTGCATGGATTTCCTTTTTTTCTTTTTTGCACCGAAATAAACTTATACTTTAATTCCATTTTTCCGTGAAATGAGGCCCCGCCATGTTTTTCTCAGGGCAGGCCTGCTCACCCCAGGGTGCACGGGCTCAGAGAACCAGAGTGCCGGGCGCTTTCTTTCCGTCACGGAGAGACAGCGGTGATGGGAGCAGGCGCCCAGCTCGGCGGTCAGCAGCCAGGTCTCTCTCTCTCTCTGATTGCTAGAGGGCCCGTGCCCCAGTGAGAAACAGAGGGGGGAAGCCCCCCTACGGGGCACATCACACCACAAGCCCTTCCCTCTGTTTCTCCCCCTCTTGGGATCGGGGCACGGTCTCTGTGTTTCCCAGTCGCTGAGGCTGAAATTCAGACTCCGGCTGGCCACGTAGGACCCAGTTCCCTTCACCACTAACCCAGGGCCCGCCCCATCTGTATACTTATTTTGTGTTGTTGTTAAGAATTATTTTTTAAGAATTACTTATTTAAATTTTTTATTCATTCATTTGTTTAAATTTGACCAGAGAGACACAGAGAAAGTGAGAAAGCAAGCCTCCAGGTCTGGGACTCAAACCATGGTCAGCCATGTAGGAGTGTCCAGCACCTTAACCACCATGCCACCTGCTGGTCCCAATAATATTTTTTTTATTTAACTTCATTTATTTATTTTAATTTGACCAGAGAAGGACAGAGTGAGAGAGAGAGAGAGAAGTGAAAAAGCAAGCCGCCAGGTTCCGGACTCGAACCATGGTCGGTCATGTCGGTCATGTAGGAATCCGGTGCCCTTAACTACCACACCACCTGCCAGGCCTAACCCATCTTTTTCTTTCGTTTCGAGAGAGTTGGGTTTTTTTGTTTTGTTTTGTTTTGTTTTTTGAGAGAGAGATTTTTGCGCTCACCAGAAAGACAGAGAGAGACGGAGAGACGGAAAGTGAGAAATCACCCCCAGGGGGGACAGCCACGCCGCAATCCCTTCTCCTCCATTCTCCTCTCGGGATCTTGGGCACGCACGCATGTACACACGCTGGCCTGGATCTGGGACTCAAGTATGTGAGAGTCCAGCGACATAACTATTACGCCATCTGCTGGTCCCCCCCCTTTTTTTTGGTTTATTTTTTTCTTTCTTCCATGAACGAGAGACAGAGCACTGCCAGTGGGGTCCTGGCACTGTGACCCACCGTCCCTGTGCCAGGCTGGATCATACGCACAGGGATGCTGTCACCCTCAGGGAGGTCTCTGGACTTGAACTGGGAACCTTCCCATGTAGCTCCACCTCTCACAGCATCTCACGACCCCTGTCCCACTGTGTGGCTGCCCAGGGTTTTGTTTTGCTTTGTGTTGAGAGCGATTTTTGCTCTTGGGCACATGCACTCACCAAAGAGACAGAGACAGAAAGCGAGAAATCACCCCTCCGGGGTGGGGGGGGATGGCCACGCCGCCATCCCTTCTCCTCCATTCTCCTCTCGGGATCGTGGGCACGCGCGCACACGCGCCTGATATGTGTCAAGCCACCGGATCTAGGACTCGAACTGGGGTCAGCCATGTGAGAGTCCAGCAACAGAACCATTACACCCTCTGCTGGCCCCTGCCCAGAGTTTTCTAATGCCGTTCCTCGTCCTGGCGGAGCTGGGAGCTTGACGATGTGATTTTCAGACTGAGGATTAAGGAGCCCACAGTCTGGTCTCAGCTGGGTTCGACCCGCATGGCTGGCTTGTCGGTCGGGAGGGGACAGCTCCGCTTCGTGAATGATAGCGGTCTCGTCTCTCCGTCCCTGGGGGGGCTCCCAGTGGGTGCACACATCGGTAACGAGACCCCTAAATTAACGAGCAGATGTTCTGTTGGTATACTCTCGCCGTGTGAGAGTCAGGGCGCCTGTCCACTCTGACGGCAGAATCCTGCTGGCATGGGGGACAGCCAATATGCCAGCCGTCTCTGGGTCTTAGAGTCGCCCTGACACCCAGTCTCAGCCTAACTGTCCTCGTCCCCCATCTCAGATCGTTCACAGCTAACACCACTGCGCTGCGCCTCTCCCCTCCTGCGAAGGCCCAGGCGGGTGTCCAGGTGGGGTCTAAGTACTGTGCGACTTCCACAGCGAACGGTCACAGTGGGGTCCAATTTCCTGCCCGCCATCCCCGCTGCTCCAGCCAATACAGCACGGGAAGACGCGGCTTTCTTTTCTAGAAGGATCCCACCGAGGCATAAAAACGGCGCAGCCCCCGCCTGGCACCGCGCCGGGTCCGGAGCCCCGCGCGCGCAAAGATGGGGAACGCGCATTCCAAAGGCGGCGACCGACGGGGCGCGCTCCCCGGCCGCCCCGAGCTGTCTTTCTACGGGTCTTTCCCCAGGAAATGGAGCGAGAACGTCTTCTTGGATCACGAGCTCCTGACCTCCAAGATCCTGTCGGTGCTGCGGCCGCAGCCCGAGCGCGGCTTCCCGGCCGGCGACCTGGACCTGCGCTACCCGGCTCGCTTTCTCAGCCCCAACTCTGTCTTTGCCTCTGTCGCAGCCTCGCTCAAGGAGCACCCCCACAGCGCCCTCCTGGCCGATGGCAGCCCTGCCCTGTCCAGGAATGTCGGCATGACGGTCTCTCAGAAAGGGGGTCCGCAGCCTACACCGAGCCCGGCTGGAACTGGGGCGCGACCCGGGTAAGCTTGGGCTCCCCCCTCTCTCTTTGTGGGATCAGGTGCAGAGGAAGGGCCGGGAGCTGTGGGTGGCATCCCGTGGTGGAAACCCGTCCCTGTCACTGCTCAGAGGAGACAGACTCCCTAGGTGGGTGTGAACGGACTGGGATGCCCATTAACACCTGCTTGCAAGGGTCCTGCCTTGCCTTTTTCCAAAAGCAATGGGTCTCGGTTTGGCCACCGACAGGGCTAGCTGGTTTAATATTCTCGAGGGGTCCTCACTAATACTAGAGAGGGTGCTGGAAGCCTCCCCAGAGTGCTCGGAAGTCGGAGGCGTGACCTGCAGCTTACCTGGCTTTGCAGGACCGAAGGGTCCCCCCAGTTTGCGTCTGGGGTGTTTGGCCAGCACAGGGTGCTTGAGCCTCAGAGGCTGACGGTGATCCGTACAGGGGCTGCTGGGGAAAGGAGCGATGATCTTTTTCCCAGGATAAAAGTTCTCTCCTCCCCCGGCCTCAGCAGTGAGGCTGTGCCCTCCTGTACCCGGGGAGAAGGGATCCTGGGACAGGCATCTGGTGTCCCTGGGAAACACACCTGAATGTTAAAAGTTAATCGTAATGGGGAAAAAAAATAATAACCCTGATGTTCCTGCGTTGTCTCTTCATTTTAAAAATATGATCAGTTTGACCAAGTTAAGGCTTCTATCGAAATCTGGAACCTTGCAGAATGGCACGTGTGGGTTCGATGCCATTTTTTGAAACCGTTATTTTGATTATGTTCACTCAGACCAGTCCCAGGAGAGATGGACGAAGCCGACTCCCTGTCTTTAAAGTTCAGGCAGGCAGCCGACGACTCTCTGTCCCTCGCATCTTCGAAT